ATGGGCTTAGTGTTCATGTGCTTGAAAAAAGATGACTAATTGTCAACTCTTAATTAACCTCTCTTTTGTTACTTAATAGGAAATAGAGGGCAATACCTCAGCATTTGCGTTCCTCTCTATAATGCATCAATCAAAGGTGATTGGGAAGCTGCTCAAGCCATCCTTGATAAACACCAAGATCTAGATTTGGTAGGATATGCTATAAGTGAAAACTATGATACTGCACTTCACATTGCAGCATCTGCCAAAAGTAGCAAATCAATAGAAAATTTTGTAGAAAATCTAGTGGACAATATGACAAAGGAACAGTTAGAACTCAAGAATGATAACGACAATACTGCATTTTGTTTAGCAGCAGCCGGTGGAAATGTCAAAACCGTTATGACTATGTTGGAAAAGAACGGGATCCTTGGGGATATCACTGGCAGTAATGGAATGATGCCACTCTATATGGTATCATTATTTGGAAAACATGAAATGGTGAATTATCTTTATAAAAATTCCAGGGAGATGCATGGAGATAGTTGGACAAATAAGAATCGTAGTTGGGTTCTACAGAAATGTGTGGAAGCTGATCAATATGGTATGTAGTTATTGCTCCTTTCTTGTTGTTCTATAAGAACCTCGGTGTTTCATGTGCTTCTGTTTTAAAAAACTTTTATGATATTTGTTGCGTTTGATGTAATACTTTCCCTGATTAAATGTTGAAACACATTATGTAGATATTGCATTGAAATAGTATCCCGATGGCCAGCACTTGCAAAAAGTGGGATTTTACTTGGAGTTTTGGCTCGAAAACCTGATGCATTTAGGGGGATAAAACCGCATTTTATCTGGAGAATCATATGTCCAAGTGAATATCTCTACTCTTATATTTTGCTTATCAACTCATTTTTATCCACCTATTTGATTTCATATTTGGTTATGGGTTTCAGTTTTGGCGTTGATTCATGTGAAGGTTGGGCCTTCTGAAAAAGAAACCGATGCCATGGAATTACTAAAAATTATTTGGTCAGAAATTGTGAAATTATCTAAAGATGAAATCAATAGTATTATTAGAGGTCCAGCTGACATACCAACAAATAGTGGAAAAGAAAAGGAAGATGTCGAGCAACTACTTGGGTCCATTTTGGAAAATGTTGCAAAGATGCCCAATAGAATTCATAACCTATGGAGTAGAAAGCCTATCGATCATGAACCAAAAAGTGTAAATCAAAAGTTTTCTTCCCGCGTACTATTTGTGGCTGCAGAGATGGGAAACACTGAATTTCTAGTGGAGCTCATTCGCCAATATCCAGATTTAATATGGAAGAAAAATGATAACGAACAAACTATATTTCATGTTGCTATATCACATCATCATGAGGGTATCTACAATCTTCTACATGAGATTGGCTCGATGAAAGATATGATAACACCTCTGAAGGACCTGAAAGGAAATAATATGTTACATTTAGTTGGGAAGTGTGCAAAGAAAAAGAGACTTCAAGTAATTTCAGGGGTTGCTTTGCAAATGCAACGAGAGTTGTTGTGGTTCAAGGTATTTCTTTCTCTCTAAGACATTAGCTCTCTCTTTACATCTCTGCACTTTCATCTTTCATACAACTAGAAGTTATTACTTAAGTTGCTTCTACTCTATCATCCAAGAATAGATAAAATTGTTTTAAAATAGAAAGTTTCAATGTGGACAAACCAAACAAAAGTGATTAACCTTTCTTTTGTGTACGTAGGAAGTAGAAGGTATGATTCCTCCTTCATATCGAGAAAGGAAGAACAATGATGGTCTAACACCACATGAACTGTTCAGCAAGGAGCACAAAGAGCTACTCGCTTCAGGTGAAAAGTGGATGAAAGAGACAGCTAGTCAAAGTATGGTGGTGGCAGCTCTTATAGCTACCATTGTTTTTGCAGCAGCATTTACGGTTCCTGGTGGTTATAATCAAAATAACGGTGTTCCTATGTTCTTTCAAAAAAGATCATTCATAGTATTTGTCATATCAGATGCCATTTCTTTGACATTCTCGTCCATTTCACTCCTAATATTTTTATCTATCCTCACATCTCGCTATGCTGAAGATGATTTCTTGGAATTATTACCCAAAAGGCTGATGAGAGGCCTAACAACACTCTTCTTTTCTATCGCAGCCATGATGGTCGCTTTTAGTGTTAGTTTTTTCGTCCTTTATCATAACAACTTGATATGGATACCTATTGTTATCAGTGCAATTGCTTCCATACCGCTCTTTTTATATGCTAGACTTCAGTATGATCTTCTGGGGGATGTTTATAACTCAACATATACTTCTAAGAATCTCTTCAAGCCAGAAAAGCTAAAGATTTACTATCAAAATCCAAAGCACTAATACCTAGTCGATTGGGTAATTGTAATATTCATTTCAAGATGTATGATTGCTATGTCTTAGTTTGTATCGGTTGAGAGTTTATATATGTGATATGTGGATGATTAATATTTTTATTGCCAATTGTTATGGATTTAGAATTTGCTAGCATCTAATCTTAAAATTTAATTTACTAAAGACATAAGCACTATTCAACTCATCTAACAAGTCATTTGTTCGTTGAAAGGGGAATTGATAACAAACTGTAATGTTATTCATAACTCGATTATCCATGCATATGTGTCAATCACATCATTTTTCAGAGTAAGTAGGGTTGGTACGAAGCACATACTAAGTCCCTCAAGAATATGACCTATAGCAAGCAGGTCGTCCACTTGCCTATACAATTATTCTTATTTCATTGGACTCATAAGGTAATAGGGTCGGTTAGGTAGTACAAGGCCAGGCACCAAGTCAATATGATGTTGAATATCAAAAAGGGTGGTAAATCTAAGGGCAATGAGATAAGAAACACATCAACAACTTTCTTAAGTAACGGTTGAACTATGTAGTTGGAACAACATAGCTACTTGTGGTAATTGGAGTACAAAATAAAAAAAAAATAAAAAATAAATAAAAAAAGACCAAACATGATGCCTCTATAGCGATATGAAAAGGAACCCGACACAACATAGTAGTTTGTGCTACAGACATGCCCACTCAAGGTTTAGTCGAAACTAGTACAATTTTCTTACCAAGAAACATGAAAGAATAAGTATTAGAACAACCAACATATATGAAAATTTAGTCATATTGCTAATGGATTTTGAACACATTACGATGAGTTCCATCCATATGAATGACATCATAGTATAAATCAGCACTCTAAGTTGAACCAATAGAGAAACTCATCAGGACATGTTTGCACATAGTACCATTAGTATATTTATTGATATTATAAGGCTTGGGACGAGTTTCCAAGATAAGCACCAATTTTGAAACCACAAATTCAAAAATCACATTCACCCAATTACATTCATAAATTATAATTTTGCATATTTTCCCAAAAATAGTGCAAGTTGACTAGAATAGATTGTGACGAAACCAATAGCGTCATTTTATCTATAAGACGGTCGAAAGTTCAGGCTTGCATGTCTTGCCAATTGTTTTTCTGCTTGAAAAGTTGTTGATGTGGTTTTGGAAATGTTAAGTGGTCAAAAATATTCAAAAAATTCTAATTGTAGGTAGAAGCCACCAATATAACGAGAAACTAGTTTAAGTGGTGAGTCGTTAATTAAGGTTAGTGCAAGCGAGGAATTGGTAGAAGTTGGTCGTGTAATCATCAACAGAATGGGGGACCTGATGGAGGTTTTACAAGTATTGGTATAGTTCTCACTGGAAGTTATAAGTTAAAAATGCAGCGTGAATATGTTTCTTGAATTTCTCCAAACTTGAACTCTTGGCCTTATCGATACAGATATTGTTTTAATTGTTTCCACCAAGCTTGTGCATAGCTATGTAGATAGATGGCGACTTACAGAACATAACGATCATCTGGAACTTCTCTAAAATTGTGAATTTCTTTAACCTGTGATAAATAATATATGAACTCATCCCCCTTAAAACCACCATCAATCGCTAGAATAATGATCCTAAATCCTAGTTCCCAACACTGATGGTGTCATTCAGGAGGGTTCCAATGAAACCAATGATTTTCATCTATAACAGTGTCATCTTTTTGTGTCTGATGTAGTTTGTGCAGTTCGACTAGTCGTTGAGTTAGAAGTTCGATATGCTACCACAAATCAACATTAACCTTGCATAAATTAACAACATTCATGGATTTCTTATTGTGGACTTTCCTGGTCTGCGAGGTGGCATAACACATGATTGGATGGAATTTGATACTATTCTGATGTAGTATGTCTGTTAAAATATACAACTAATAATTCAAATCCTTGTTCATTCTTAGGGGATACCGAGTTTGATAATTAAAGATGAAAAAAAACCCCACTTCTTATTCTGACAAAAAACATGAACAATACGAACAATAAATCAAAGGATATCATATATTGTAAAACAAATGAAAATATCACTTATTCTCTTCAAATATGATGTGTCATTAACTCTTCCTTCTTGATTACCATAAAAGAGACTTTCCGACAGTGGATTTAGCACAAAAAAATGCATGTCCCACAAATAAATTTTAATGGATTTCCAAGAATATTTGTGGCAGATGATCAATTTTTTGAAAGATTATAGCCTGTATCTAAATTTCCAACAAATAGGGAAGCCTAACCATTATAAGAAAATCCTTTTCCAACAAACATACCACTCTTGGACAAAATAAACTTGTTTGACTCAAACACAAGCTAAAAATAAACCTAGTTCAAAAAATTGCGCTAGATTCTTACGAAGTTCTGGAACATACAAAACATCCCTAAGCTTCACCTCTTTCATCAATGTCATTTTCAGAACAACTTTGCCAACACCTTTGATATATGTGGTGGTTCCATTTTTCATGTAAATGTTTTTACCACTATAAACATCTGTATAGGTGTTGAAATTTATCTTTTCATGACAGACATGTTGTAACATGTCGATCCATGTATTTTCCTTTTATACCCTTAGTATGAAATTTATTTTCAAATTTGTCCCTTTCTCTCTTTAAGTGAAACACGTGGATTTGTTAAGTACGTTGGCCATACTCAATGCACGCTGGGCGTAGGTAGCTGAAACCCAAACCCTTATTTTTAGGTTTTCATCCTTATTTAAGCGTCATTATCCCATTGATACCCCTTCATTCATTAGTCCCCATTCCCCTTTTCATCCCTAACAAAACCTAATTCTTGCGTGAGCCTTTGTAAGCTTAAGAGTGCATTTGTGTTATTCTTGAAGTATGGAGAAGGAAAGGAAACCATCTTGGAAGCTTAAGGAACTTTAGATCTAGAAGTATTTCACCCTCAAGCATCAATTTGAGGTATAAAGTTTGCAACTTGATGAGTAATTGCTTAGATCTTGTTAGCTTGGAGCTTATGTTAATTTTGGTCCTATAAGCTTGGTGTTCATAAGTATAGTTTACTCTAACCCGTAAGGGCTATCCTTCCAGACATTTTTTTGGTGCTTAGGATAATATAAATGTGATCATGGTCACTTTCCTTTTTTCATGCATGATATATTAGGTCTTGTTTTGCGTATTAAGTTAGGCTTTAGTTGTTGGACCCTTTCTAGCCTTAGAAAGTCATGAAATTGGAAACTTTACGACTTAGAACATTATTTGGAACTAGAACTGAGTTATGGACAGATGGGTTTTAAGCATAACAACAATTCCTAAGTGTTCATGCAACCCTAATGCTTTGGATCTAAGTTTTCTCTAGTTGAACATGAAAACATTAAACACAAAAAAGAAACACAAGGTTATAAGTATTACAATCAGAATTCACATAATAGAGATTAAAGTTCATACCTTGATTGTTATGTTGTAATAACAATCTAAAAACGTTGCTTGAAAGAACTTTGATAGCAACCACCAGAAGTTTCGCGCCTCTAATGGCTCACAAACAAACTCAAGCATCAAAGGATTTATATATACAGAAAGAAAGAGAGAAGGGAAGAAAATTTTGTTGGTTTTTTGTATACTACAACTGATGGGTTTTGAGCATTCTAACACTTCCTAAGTGTACATGCAACCCTAATAACCTTGGATCTATGTTTGTCTAATTATCATGCAAAGTTGATTTCCAAGGTTATGATCCTATCTAGCATACATGGGGAACAATTTTAACTTGAATAAAAGATAGAACTACATACCTTGTTATTGATTTTGATCCTTGAAACCTTGTGAGCCTAGCACCCCAAGTGTGATGCCTCAAATGCTTCACAGAACACCAAATGCTATGGACTAAACTTGGAGAGAAAGTATGACACTCTAAAAATCCGCTCTAGCCCTCAAGTATGCATGCATATGTCATCGATTTTGGAAGAAACATGAACTTTATATAGCGTTGACACATCTAGGGTTACACCATGTAAACCCTAATGTGTCATGACTCTTCATTTCCATGACCCATGGGTTTATAACTCCCATGGAGCCTCCATGGAGCATCCAATGGGTTTAACTCAACTTGATTATCCATGGAGCCTCTTAGCCCACTATACAAGATATGGATGATTTACATAATTAACCCATATGTTTAATTAGTTATCTTTTGATCACTTAATTAATTCTAAATTAATTCATGATGAAACTAATTAAATAATATTATTAATATATTAGAACTTATAATATATTAATAACCACAAGTGTTATTTCTCTCATTTAGTCTATCCAATTGCATGGTGCCATGCAACCCAAATGCACCATGCCGGGTCGGGTCAAGTATTTACCAGAAATAGTTATGGACTTAGACAGCTTATCCAACAGTCTCCCACTTGGATAAGTCTAATAACTATCACTGCAATACTTCAGGAACCGATCAACAATCATAGCTTTTTTCAAGGTTTCTCGGAACTGAGAAGATGATGGTACACCATTTTAGATAAGGGATCATATAATCCTCTGTTCTAGATATCAGCCGGACAAATACATGGAACATGGTCTTACTTATTGTCCAGCAGTTTGTTTCCCGATTTCCGATTTGTTTGACAAAGAACTTAATTAAACACATCAACTTAGTTCAGACCGGGCCCAATACATAGGTCAAAACAAAATCATCGAGGGGCCCAGATATCAGCTTCTAATCCAAGAAGGAACAGATAAACTTCGACTCATATGCTTGTTCTACTACTTGTTAAATTACACTCAAACGCACGTTTTATAACATCGAGTTACCAATGCATTTTCTCACGATCAATGCATAACTAACTCATATATAACAAGTCATATCTCTAGGTTTGAAGACTTATATGATATTAACGTCTCACAATCACTCGAGATAAATTCCATGAAGTGATACCAGCGAGCGTGGGTTGAATCTAATACTCAGAACTTATGAGCACTCATGAGTGTTGAGGCCATGTCCAACATCTTAGACCTCTACAACCAACTCATGATAGTCTTTCTTCATATCTACTTCCAACATATGACTGAATGTGGATAATTTGAATAATATGTAAAACAACATAAATATTCTGGAAGTCAAAACATGCAAAAGA